GGCCATGGCGGAGCAGACAGTTCAGGAGGCCATGGCGGAGCAGACAGTTCAGGGGGCCTCTACGGCCGGATCCCTATAGCCCCCCCCCCAAAATAGTCCTTGGTGGAAATTTCGGGTTCTGAGGCCCTCCGTGGGCCTGATGTAGGAGCAGCGGCCCTCGCTGGGCTTGACTCGGGAACTGTGGCCCTCCCTGGGCTTGACTTGGGAACAGGGGCCCTCTCTGGGCTGGACTTGGGAACAGGGGCCCTCTCTGGGCTGGACTTGGAAACAGGGGCCCTCTCTGGGCTGGACTTGGGAACAGGAGCCCTCTCTGGGCTTAACTTTGGAACAGGAGCCTTCTCTGGGCTTAACGTGGGAACAGGAGCCCTCTCTAGGCTTAACGTGGGAACAGGAGCCCTCTCTGGGCTGGACGTTGGAATGGGAGCATTCCCTGGGCTGGACGTGGGAACAGAAGCCCTCTCTGGGCTTAACGTGGGAACAGGAGCCCTCTCTGGGCTGGACGTGGGAACAGAAGACCTCTCTGGGCTTAACTTGGGAACAGGAGCCCTCTCTGGGCTGGACGTGGGAATAGGGGCTGGAGCCGACACTGGAGTTGACTCATAGACTCGAGCTAACAGCCTTTTCCTCCTTAGATTCCTCCTCTGGTTTGAGGTGAGGGAGAAAGCTACTGTCAGCTGAGGGCTTGGGAGTGAATTGGCCGGCGGGCTTGACATTGACAATGGAGTGGCCGGCGGGCTTGACAACGGAGCAGCTGGCGGGCTTGACTGCTGAGCAGCCGATTTGAAATACAAAACACTTTCAAAACGGAAACAAAAACACGGGGAGAAGGGGTGCCACTTACTGTATGCAGGTCCGGTGTTCTGTCACGGTTGCTACTGTGAGGAACGAAGAAGCGCGGAGACGACGGAGAGTATCAAGGGGAACAATCTTTATTTAAACAAATAAAGACTCACAGGAAGGAACACACACGTAGCACAGGGATTGATGTTAGACACCGGACAAAGGAACCAAGTAACATAACACTCTTTAAATACATGACTAGACGAGGGACTCAGCAAGGAAAACCTGAAATCAATAAACACAATCAATATGGGAGAAACTGGGTCATGGGGAGAAAAAACACAAGACACAGAACACAGGGGCAGTCCAAGGGCGTGACAGTATCTTTGTGGAAACTGCGATTTTTTTCCAGAATTTTTTGATTAATAAAAAGTTCGAAAGAACAGCAATTATTTGCATTTGTTTTATCAGCATTTATTTTAGCTTTTGTTACATTATAAATATTTTTATTGTAACTTTTAATCAATTTGCTGAAAAAAAAACATTAATTTCTTTTCAAACTAAATCTTACTGACCCAAATCTTTGAACGGTAGTGTATGTTTTCTTAAAATAATAATAATAATAAAATAATGAAATAAATACACACATACATAAGTAAATAAGTAAATAAATAAATAAATAAGTCTGCTTTGTATAATATCTACATTAATTGGTCAAATTAAAGGGGTCATATGATGCTTTTTTAAAGATCATTATTTTGTGTATATTATTATTATAAATTATTAAAATATTTAAATAAAATATATCAAAAATTACAAAAGCACATAATATTACTAAAACAAACTCAAATGAAAACTGAGAATATAAAAAATAAAAGCTAATACAAAATATTAATAAATGCTATAATAGTATATAAACAATACTAAAATAACATAAGCCACTCCTACAAACATCTGAATAAACAACTATCAAGCACAATATATGAATTCAGCAACTGCAGTACCTGTATGCCCCTGAGAGACGACGCTCCCATATAGAGGAAAACGCCGTATAACACAGGCATTGGGATAAGCTGAGGACAAAAACATAAAATAATAGCCATTAAAAATGACGAAAGATCTCAAAAGTTTAATGCAAGCATCATGTGTTGATCAAACTTGGTAGCCTGACTCAATCTGAGCCAAAGATCACTGACCTTCAGTATGGAGGTCATAAACACTGAGCTGCCCATGAGGACGAATATCATGAGGCCGGTGAAGCGCTGCTCTCTGATGCCCAAAAACTTGGGCTGTTCTCCAGGCGCAGAGCATTCGGACTCCAGCTTCAGGCTGTTCACGTGGGAGATTGACAGCACCGTCGCGGCCACGAACCACGGCAGGCCCATCAAAGAGCAAACGCCCAGCATCACACCCACCACAAACAGGTCCAGATGATACCCACAGCCTTTCTGTGGAGACACACGGACACAACAAAGGACATCAAGTCTACAAGAATATCTGCTTACCAAATTAAGCATACTGAGTAGGACTTAGCAATACACCTTCAGCTTGTGTTCCTTCCTGTTAATAATAACGGCAGTGATTTGTTGGTCCATGAAGATGAGGATGGTACACAGCAGAGCTGGGATGAAGGTCACAATAGTGGTCCACCATGGGTTTGGTCCTAATGGGCTGATGAGCCAGCCACGGTCATCTCTGGTTGGCTGTGAGAGATCATCTTATTAATTAAGTATTCATATGCAGAGGATAGATTTATGCAGAAATGTATAAATGAAAAGGACATATTACTTAAAAACCTTTCTCAACGACTCACTTTAAACTCATTAGGAACCTGTAGTTTGGGGGACGGGATCCCCAGAGCGTAGTCGATCAGAGCCATAGTCAAGATGGTGATGAAAACAGCAAAATCACTGATAATGGCCCTCACCTGTATAGAAACACACAAAATTAGAGTAAGTGCTAGAAAATGAACATAAATCTGTGAGCCTTAAAAATGTGAATGGCCTGTTGACTACTGGCCAGGTATAATGGGTCTAAATAAATTTTGATTATATTATATTATATGAATTAAATTTTTTTATAAATATATAACTATATATTTATATACTATTTATATATAGATATATAAAATAAATATACACAGACATTATATTATTAAAGATAATTATTTGTATCTTAATATAATAAAATTAATTTTATTATATTAAAACAATAATAGTGATGATAATAATATTTTAATTATATAATATAATACATATTTTAATTATATTACATTGTTATTTTTTATTTATGAAAATAAAGTTAATTAATTTAAAAAGAGACTTTGTTCAGACAAAACTTTCATTTGAATCAAGTAATATTAAGTTAAAGAAATTAAAGAAAACAATAATTATATATATATATTTTTTTTTTAAGTTAACTTTGACAGCCCTACAAAAATCTTTTTTCATGCAAATTTTTGCAGATTCCCTAGTCCACTCTTAAAACCTCTTTGAGAGCCTACATAAACACACACACATATACTTTCACAGTTGTCTGTACTATTCTATACTGAACCACACACAAGCTTCTTGCCTTGGTTGGAAAGTAACGACTAGTTTTGAACTCTTTAAGGAAGGAGGACATGGCAACCGTGGAGAAGAAGAGAATGACAGACCAGAAGAGGACGTCAGGGATGTATGGACCGTGATGACCACAGGCTCTGCCCACAAACTCACCCCTGTTCTCCACACAGCCCTGAGATGAAACACAACACACAATAATCACATCTGCTTCTGATGAAGAACACAGATAAACACAAACTCCAGAAGAAAAAAAAAGAGGATAAAATCATATACGGTCGTGTGTAACTGTGGAAATATCACAAGAATTTGTTTATAGTGGATTAGATTGTGTGTTGTATATTTGTGTGTGCAGGAGCTTAAACAAAGCGGAGGGAGGGGAACTGAGGTGAATGAGCAGAGGATTTGCTTTTATTAAAGTACGAGTCACTGAAATGTATTAACCCATATCTGAGCCACAGAAATGAGAGGGGCGTCTGTGGGAATGTTCGGGATGATACACTGGTTTTACCAGAAAGTAGTATGCAGTACCGTAAACTGTATGCAAATTTTCTGTATGTACAGGTGATCTATTATTTGTAAAAAAATAAATAAATAAATAAAAAAGTGCAGTATACAAACCAGCTGAGTTTGTGTGGAACATACAATCCCACAATGCAATGTGCTTAATGATTAACGCATTTAACGTCCCCACCCCGCTCTGTACGACATTACATGCAATTGCTAACAAACATGATGCAGGACGACAACTGACTGTGTGATGTAGCCTCAGAGAATGCATTTATATGTCCATAAAATTCAAGAAATGAAAGGAAAAAATGCCCCTGTATGGGTTTTTGTCTGACATTTATATCACATGATGAAGCGATATCACATGAACAAGAGAGCTGTTTATTTCCTGAATATCTGAACAAATTAATATGTGATATTGATTTTATACAACAGTACAATTAACAAGTTAATATTGTAACATTTTTGACACAGTATTGTCTGTTTTCACAAAATTTGGCCAATAAAACAGTTCCAAAACAAAGTTTTGTTGCTGAATAAATCCACATTTTCGAATAAATCGAGTGAGCCAATGATTCAGTGACTCCTTAATAAAGATCAAGTCACTAGCTTCGTTTTTGAATGAATCAACCATTTGAGCGATTCAGTTGAATGAATGACTGAATGACTCACACATTAAGACAGTGACTTGCTGCCACCTACTGGTGGCTTTAGTTTCATATTTAGAGTATGTTATGACCACAATGCAGCCATATGTGTAATAAAATCTATGTTGAATCAAAATATTTCTTCCTACAGCTACTTATTTTAAATATCTTTTCGATGCTTTTCTCATTTAGCACAATAATGACTATATATCTGGGGGTTAATTTCACAGCACAAATGAATGTGCCCTCATAAATAGTGCGTCACTTTTTGTGCAAACTAATTTGCAATTAGATTAATTAATTGGCACATCATGTAATTAGATTAACATTTTTGGTAACACTTAAAGCAATAAGCCCCAAGAAGCCGTGGTTTACAGTGAATTTATAACAGCTAAGAGGTTTTTTTTTCTGTTATAAATTTACTGTAAACCACGGCTTCACAGGGCTTATTGCTTTTATAAAACGGTTATTCCATATACGTAGTAAGGTTTCACAGAATAAAACAGAGTAATTAAAGTGTAATGATATAAACAAAAAACAGTATTCTTCCACCAAACAATGTAGTTCCTCAGAAACAGTTGTGGTTCCAACAAAGTGGTTGCCGAGCAACACACAGAAGTAAACAAAGGTGTATGTTTGTAGTGTAATTTACAACAGCTTCGAACGCGGCTCAACCAATCAGAATCAAGGACCGGAAATATCCGTTTTATAAGTAGTTTTAATGTATTAATTATGCCTTGTAATGCACCTTATATTATAATACATTGTACAATCTCATTAATAATTGTAACCACAGTTAATGCATTATAACACTTATCAATTAATTCAGTTATAATTTATAACAAGATGTAATGTATTACAACACACATTATGAATAATTATAATGCATTATACCCTTTATTAACCCTTTATAATGCATTATAGATAAAGGCATTAAGTAAAGTGTTACCTAAAGTTTAATTGCTTGAGAGCCCTAGATATTTATCATTGCATAATGCACACTTGTTTCTCATACTGTTTATCAAATCAGTATTCAGCATGGTAGTATTGCATTTAGAATGAGGTGTGTTCAAGTCATATCAGAAAGATCGTATTTATGAGTTAAACGCACATGCCACCACAAAGTCATAATTATGAGTGGGAAGCTATGGCAGACACAATAGGAGCAGAGTCTTTATTGACTGTAAATTTGTTGGAATTAACTTTTTTTCATTTACAATAAAAATAGCTAAGCCACATGTATAATTTCTTAAAGATGAGTTTAAAAAAATCAAAAAGCTAAATTTTTTGTCGAAAATGTACGTCGCCATCTTAACCAAAGTAGCTTAAATGCACCTGACATTTACGAATTCCCAACTCGTAAATACAAACTTCCTAGGAGGATTTTAATGCACCAATAGTCGCACTCACCTTAACATTCAGGCCTAACCAGTCAATATCAGATGCAGTGATGTTTTTTTCCTGCCAGTAATTCAGTGTGGCATTGCTGGGCTCTTCAGGCACTGTGCACACACACCTGCAAAACACACATAAATAAATGCATCACAATATTTAACGCTGAAAACTTTATCAAAATGTACAACTGAATTTATAGAAGTGACCTTGAGGAAGATGTGTTTGTGTGTCAGTACTCACGAGTACTGAGTGAGCTGGTTGAGGTCATTGTGCATGTTGAAAGGGTACGTCTCTCCCAGATGAACGAGTTTCTCCAGAGCCTCGTAGATGAAAATGATGCAGATGAGGGAAGCGAAGGCTTCCTCTGTGAATCGTGTGATGTAACACACCAGTGAGCTGGCGTCTGTGGCAACCAGCACAAGACACATAAAGGCCGTCCACAGACCAATACACACACGTAAGGAGAGGTAGGACAAATCATACTCTCTGAGGAGAAAAACACAGATAAAAATGAGTCTTTATTTCATGGTAAAGTTATGAAGGACACCTTGGGGGTGAATTCACTAAATAGTGTAGCACTTGTGAATTCCCCTGAACTGACTGAAAGAAATCAAAATGCTTAGTGCGAATTAAAGGAGTCTCACTTGCAGAATTTGAAGAGGATTTTCTCAAAGACCAAGACAGGTCCTGTGCTGCCCAAGATAGTGAGGGGCTGCCCAGCAAACAAAGAATATGCTATACCCGTCATAGAGGCTCCAAACAGAGACTCTATTGCACTCTAAGAGAGAAATGGGAAGAACAAATCATCAGTCACATCATAATCAACCCATCAGTTTTAATATTCGTTTTTGCACGTGTCCTTACTATGCGTCCTTCTGTAGCTTCTCCCAGCAGACCTCCGAAGGTGATAACAGGAGACATGCAGGCGCAGTACAGGAAAAGGAAGGAGGCGAGACACTGCAAACTGATGGCATCTGTGTAATCTGACAGGTACCGAGGAGCCTTACGCTTGATGTCCAGAAAAAAACCGCCAAAAAACCTGACAATCCAAACAAAAGACTCTCTGAGATCCAGTTCGGTGATATACAGAATTCATGAACACTAAAATATATGGACAGTACATATTTGCAGATTACTCACTTCCCTGTGCGCTGTAGCTCTGGTCCTCCGTGGCCTCCGTGCTCCTCGGCCTCCCCCAGATCAGCCCCTCCATTGGCCAGAGGAGGAACCTTCCGTTTCTCCTGCAAGACAGAGAGAGACACTGAACCAACATTACTACTGATCTCAGACCGGAGATAAAAATATGTCTATTCCAGTTAGTGATGCACTAAAGTGAATGAATATGTAATATAGCTCATATATTTAGCAAAATGTTCCTCTCGTGTAAATTTTTCTAGCTGAGTTTATGGAAAATGAATAGCTTTCCTGAGGTAAATGTAACATTATGTGACATTGTTTACAAGCTGTTTTACTGATGTCTTTCCATTGTTATAAGACTGATTGAGTGATTACATGAGACATTATATATTTTAGTAAGTTGTACTATTTCTTTCAACATAACTTCTAATGTTCATTCATGATTATACTGTGCTATAATAACTAGTAGTGAAGAGATGATCGGTTCGGTCAATAATTTTGGCCATCGAAAAATAATTTTTGGTTGAACATTTTTGGTTGCTGACATTTCTGTGCATCACTTATTCCTGCGATTCCTGTGATGAATCATTGCATGGAGTTTGAGAACTCAGTCACCTGTGAGGGCACGTTTTTGGGCGGCTCTATTCTGATGGTAGGATCCCACTCGCCTGGGGGCAGCACAGTCACCTGATCCAAAAACTCATCGATTCCTGCCACAAGGTCAGAACGATCCTTTGCTTTATAAGCTACATCATGGAACACCTGGAGAAAAGACCATCAGGTGAAATTAGCATACATAACAGCTTGCTGCCTATAGTATATCATCATATATAGAAATAAACACAGTGTTGTCCATAGTACTGACCTCGTCTGTCATGAGCGTGGCAATTGAGCGGCCAATCTCATGGTACTGAGGCCCTTTCCCCATTGGCCCCAGCAAAATAAAGAGAAACCTGCACAATGACATAGGACTTATTAGTGAACTCTGAGGCACACCGCCCGATAAAATGAACTTGACCAACCGAGACATTAATATGTTTCATGTTTTTTGTGCTCAGATCTCTCTGCTCTTACCTGGTGGTGATGGGGACCTCTGCCAGGCCATTGAGCAGCACAGCGGGGGACAGACGGATGAAGGCCACCACAGGTTTCTCTAGAAACTCCAGTTCACCCACCAAGATGTTGGATGCCTCGGCTCCGGGTGGGATCTTCTTCATGAAGTGGAGGTCTATCTGCAGACACAAAAACATGCTTCCTCAGCAACACAACTTTTTTTAGCATGCTTATAAAGCACAGTGTTGTCCCTAAATCGTTTCATGTTTTATTTATCATTATTTAAATAATTGTATTTAATTAAAGGAGTCTCTTATGCTCACAAAGGCTGCATTTATTTGATCAAAAATACAGTAAAAACAGTAATATTGCGAAATATTATTCTGATTTAAAATAACTGTTTTCTATTTTAATGTATTTTAACATTGAATTTATTCCTTTGCTAGCAAAGTTGATTTTTCAGTAGCCATTACTCAAATGGCTCCTTCAGAAATTATTCTAATATGCTGATTTGATGCTCAAGAAACATTTCTTATTGTTATCAATGTTGAAAACAGTCATGCTTCTTAAATTCTGTATTTAAATCATGATGCAGTTTGTAGGGTTTTTTGATTAATAGAAATTTATTTGAAATATAACTCTTTTGTAACAATATAAAATTCTTTACTTTGCTGAATAAAAGTATTAATTTCTTTAAAAAAAACGTTTGAACAGTAGTGTATATTTGTATATTTAAGTTCCAGAATAAGATGTATTACTGTCTGGAAGGTGATTCTTACTTTGCTGAAGTCAACAGCACTGTTCTCACGACTGCCATCCGCACGTCCTTCTGTAGTGGTGGGCTGAGCCTGAGGAGACACCATCTGACCTGGAAGCAGTGCAGCAATCATAAAAAACAGAGAAAATAAATAAGAGACCATCATACAACAGATTCGATCATTTTAAAGAAAGACAGTGATGTCACAGTCATGAAGATTAAGACCTACTGTAGGTACACTTACCTGGTTAAAAATTGTTGAAAGGAACGTTAAGGAGGCCGATTACAAACATCTTAACCTTGTCTAAATCTAATTCAAATTTACAAACTAAATCATAAGCAGAAACAATTAGATGAGGTTGGATATGTAAAAGTCTACTACAAATCCCAGTACTACTTCCTAGGTGGTTAAACGCAAAGCTAAGTGGTTAAATGCTACACTAACGCTATGTTTATTGTTGGTTAGAGCATTGATATGGAATACCTAAATAACGCTGTATAAACAGTTGGTAATTACCATGATACATTTGCAAGTCCACCATATTGGAAAGGCCAAGATAATACATATGCAAATGAACTGACATGGTATCATTCAACTGTGATATCTAGATATTCCATATCTATATATTAAGGTACAGTCACATTTAGTGCTGTTTGCGAAATTTTGTGAGCAAAATCCAGTCAAACATGCTCAGGAATTTCTTGTAAGGGAAAAGAATTTATGTTTCACAGATGTTCCATCAGATTTAAGTTGGTCACACAAATTTGCAGCACTGACCAACAGAAAGCTGTTTGGTTTGACGGTGACTTCTACACTATTAACAATGGACCTTTTTTGCTCTCGAAATTTCGCTAATGTGACTGCACCTTTAGAGTACAGGCGAATCTATGATCATATTGCCTGATTTTGTCTCTTCTTCAGGGTCGAGGGTGGGGATGACGTGGTAGCCGTAAGGCGGGCTTAGTCGTTTGCTGAAGGGGATGCAGGGTTTTTTGGGCCGGATGAGGGGGTTGTCTGGGGCAGGAAGGGCAGAAAGGGATGGATGGGGTTTATGGGGAGCTGACAGACACTTGGGACAGCGGAGGGACCAGGCTGGACATAAGAGCACCTGTCTATTTCTCACACTGTGGCTGAACCTAGACCAGAGAGAGGAGAAGGAACTGAGGGGCGATTGGGTCGTGATGATAACTGGGACACACAGACAGACACACCATCAAAAACGATGATAAGACAGATGCATGGCAAAAGCAGAAGAATGCATTTGCTGGAGCGTGTGGAGCAGTACCATTCTCATCCATGGAGTGCGGTTCGGATTGCTTCCTGCCGATATCTGCGAAAGAGCGTACGATGGGGATCCGGTTAGCCAGTTTCTTCTGGTTCTGATGGTGGTGCTGTTTAAGGAGAGCATTTCGGATCTTCTTCCTCAACTCCTCTCCCAAAGAAACTGACATCTCGTGCTGGTCCAAAACCAAATCTAAAAAATTAAAAACAATGAATAAAGCAAATTATAAATGATATACACTACCATTTTTTTTTTTGGAAGAAATTAAAAGCCGGGACACATTATATTGATCAAAAGTGACAGTAAATTAGTGCTGGGCGGTATGACCAAAAATTTATATCACGGTATCGGTACATGACGCTATTTTTTTTTTTCATGCATGACTGGGTATTGCGGTATTTTAAAAATTCATATCATAACAAAAATAAACACCGGTATTCAATATGAACCGGTATACTGCCCAGCACTACAGTAAATACATGTATAATGTTACAGAAGATTTCTAGTTCAAATAAATGCTGTTCTTCTCAACTTTCTTTTCACCAATAAATCCTGAAAAAATATATCATGATTTTCAAACATGATATAACACTGTTTTAACACTGATAACAATTAGAAATGTTTCTTGATCAACAAATCAGCAATTTATTTAAAATAGAAATCTTTTGTAACAATAAAAGTATTTACTATCACTTTTGATCAATTTAGCATATCCTTGCAGAATAGGACAGTTAATTTCTTAAAAAAAAAAAACATACTGACCCCAAACTTTTGAATAGTAGTGTATGTTGTTACAAAAGATTTCTATTTTGAATAAATGCTGTTTTTTTTTATTTTACTCATTAAAAAAATCCTAAAAAAAAAAAAAAAGTATCATAGGTTCCAAAAAAATATTAAGCAGCACAACTGTTTCCAACATTGATAATAAATCAGCATATTAGAATGATTTATGAAGGAAAAATGTGACGCTGAAGACTGGAGTAATGGCTGCTGAAAATTCAGCTTTACCACCACAAGAATAAATTACATTTTAAAGTATCTTAAAACAGAAAGTCAATATTTTAAATTGCATTAATATTTCACAATATAGTCTATATTCACAATGTGTTTTTGATCAAATAAATTCAGCCTTCATGAGCATAAGAAACTTCTTTAGAAAACATTTAAAATCTTACTGGTGTGTCATTGATCGCTTGTTATGGGTTGTTGGCATGCATTAGAATATTAGTCGAAAAACATGCACAGATTGTGAAAATCCACCCTAAAAAGTAAATCAATAGCACCTGTGGCACATTATTTTCAACATACTATCATTTGTGATGCACAAATCTAATACTGCAAGCTATTTAATTGTGACACTTGCTAAATGGGGCTATATTGCTGAAATGAGTAAACAGCTAATCCTAGTAAATAAAATGCTGATTGCTTTGGATCTGTAAGGAAGGCCTTCAGAAGATCTAGTCTGGACAATGTTTTCAAACTCAGTACCTGCGATCTCCTCCAGTGAGTTGGACCTCATGTCCAGCATGACGGTGCCGTTGAGGATGCAGCTCCGCAGCTCAAACAGACTGTGAAGGGAAAGAGTAGCCACATATGGCTTACTCCACCTCTCCCCTCCATCCTCTACATCCTCCTCAAACTTCAGCCATCTATAGGCAAACAAGGGACAGGAGAAAGAATATAACAGGAAGAGTGGAAAAAAAGAGAGCGTGAATGAGAATTAATATTACATTAGTTCCCTCATTTAGCTGCAGTACCACAAACTTGTATTGCATTAGCTGTAATGGATATACGCCTAATGGATATATGCCTATGACAAGCTATCATACTGTCCTTGTAGTGACGCGTGACTTATGTTTTCTTTTTCTGTTGTTTTTTTACTTCAAAATTCATGTTATACTATAATACCATACTATAATATTGATAACAATATAATTACATTTTTGTAATAACTGCAATAATAATTTGAATAATATTTAACATTATAATTTTATCATATTTGATATAATCCATTTATATTTTATAGCATGTGTATGTGTGTATATATATATATATATTATATATATATAAAATGTATATAATACTGAAAATATCTATCTATCTATCTATCCATCTTTACATGTACATGAAAATAAGTCAATTTTAATAAGTCATATTTCAAAATTAATTAATATTCGTTATTAATTATTTTTGTATATTTTATTATTTTATTATATTTCTACAATATTGGTAAATTTATCGACTATATTGATAACAATATAATTTAAAAAATACTTATATATATATATA